ATAAATACAAACAAACACAAATAAACACAAATAAATACAAACACAAACACAAACAAATACAAATAAATACAAACAAACACAAATAAACACAAACAAACACGACCGTTGAAGCAGCAGCTGCGTGATGAGCAGCAGGTTCACAGCTAAAATAAAACTCTCAGCTGATGGAGCTGAACAAATCCACAGAGTCCAGAACCAAACGGCTTTTTAAAGTGTGACCTTTGACCTTTTCTAAGCCAGGTCGCAGCATCGCCTGCGCCAAACACACGGCTGTCGTTTCAGCTACGTGTGGAAAAAAAACAGCTGAAGGTTTTTTAAAGGATCCGTTTGAAACCAACTTTCATCCACGACGAGTTCTAAACCAACAAACTCGTCGTGGAGCGCCGTGCAGGTGAGCGTTAGCACAACACCAAGACGGAAGGACATCAGCAATGACCCTTAGAGAAGCAGCCCTGCAATCTGAGAAGGGTCAAAGGTCATCTGGATCGTTCTACAGAGAGCTGGAGCTGCTGAGGGGGGGTTCTGCCGGGTCAGGGCCTGGGTTCTCCTCAGCCTCCCTCCACAGGGAGGTGCTGGAGCTCCACCTGCGCCTCCCTCCACAGGGAGGTGCTGGAGCTCCACCACGACTCGGAGGTCCAGACGCCTGCAGACCCGGCAGCTGTCACTCAGGAACGTTCCACAGACGGGGCTGAACGGTGGTGAGGCGGACCGGCTGCACACCAACATGTGTTCAGGAACACATGCTGGACCTCTGAACACACATGAAGGAGTCGGAACTTCTGACCGTCTCTGTGGGTCCGGTTCTGAGACCGGACATGAGGCTCGGATCACGAGACGGGATTTTAAACCTCATCTGTGTCGATAACTAATAAACCGCCTGATCTGGACCGGGTCCGAGGCTCACGGGTTCTCCAGCATCTTCAGGCCTCAGGGAGGACCAGAACCAGGCCAGCAGAAGATTCTGATGGACTTCACCAACACCACGGGTCACAGAACCACAACAAAGAAAGAAAACAGACCCAGGAGGGAACTCGTTACAGGACAACAGTGGACCCGGTTCTGTTCCCACAGAACCGTTGCGTCTGCATAAAGACAGCAGCAGCAGATATTTGGGCCGGGCCTGCGGGACTGGCAGAACCATGGGAGTTTTCTCTCCTTACTGGTAACAGGAGCTGCTCTATGCCGGCGAGCTCGACAGTTTCCAGGCCCGCTTCGTGGCGCTGCCAGAACCGCTGCCAGGCCCGCTGCCAGGCCCGCTTCGTGGCGCTGCCAGAACCGCTGCCAGGCCCACTAATGCAGCTCTGCAGGAGGAACGTCTGATTGTGTATATTACGCTGCTCCTCTAACAACGGCCCTCAAGCCCGTTCACAGCAGAACCGGGCCGACGGCTGCAGCTCCACACGCTTCAAAACGTAAAACCTAAAATCAGCTGATTCTCTGCTGCTGAAAAACCAACGCTTGTTTCAATCTGCTCCAGCTGACGAGCCGCTCTTAAACTTTTTCTGCTGATCATTAAACGTTTCACCAAAATATGTTTTACATTCAAATAAAATCAGAAGTTCCTTTTTTTCATTTGAATTAAAATAACTTTAACTCTTCTCCAAAACAAAATCCTGGAAGTCTCCCCCTGACAGGAAGAAAAGTTGTTTTAGTTTTTATTTGCTGAAATATCTGAGAATTTATTTTATCTCATTATGAAACGCAGCATTAATTAAAAACATTAACAGGAACGTTTCTGCCAAACTCCAATATTTATGAACTTTGTGCTGTAAAACCCAAAACTTTGAACGTTTTATAGTAATTATCTAATATTTGGCAGAAACAGACTTATTTTGTGGAGTATCTCTAAGGTTTATTTTGAAAGTCCAGGTTAAGAGCTCTTCGTGGTTTAGAAAAATACAATTTTAATTCTTCTGAGACTTTTATCAAACTTTCCTGAACTTCAAAGTAGTGGTGTTCCAGTACCAGCCTCAAATACAGTGTACTTGTACTCATAAAAACACCAGGTACTTTGGACCGATCCCACTTTTATGCTTCGTGATGTCATTTCCTCTTCCACTTGGCAAGCAACCGAGGATAAAATATAAAAATTCTGTAGTTTAGATATTTTAAAATAATGTTGCACTTTCCAAGAAGAAGGAGAACTTCCGGTGATTTTCAGGAGGTTTTATTGTGTCACAACATAACGTACCGCTTCTCCAACGGTTCGTTTTTCTTCTTCTCTCTGTGCAAACTCACAAACATTCAACTGTGGTGCCCTCTGGTGGCGCTAAAGTGCCACTACACACAAAGTATAACCTTGAGGTTTTCAATATCTCCAAGTTTAAGTACACACTAAAGATCAAACTATTGCTTATAAACCAAACATACAATTAAAAAAACATATGGGGGGGGGGGGGGGGAATCTACATTTTATGAATAGCACAAAAAAAATTACCTTTGCCACAATAAAAACAGGTGATGTTAAAACAGCAGACTGTTTGCTCTGTTCTTAAAGAAATGTTGTTTTTAAGTCACTGTGAAATATTTAAGTACTAACTCAATAAATACTAGTACCCAAACTGAATCGTGTGTACTTGTACAGGGTTTGAAAAGCACTAGTATTGGTACAACCGTAGTTTAAAGTTTTAATCAAGACTAATTTGTTCAAATATGTCAAGAGTTACAGAAAAAAACAATTAAAAAAAACAAAGATGGGTCTGCTGAGTCACTGGTTGCCATGGTGATTCCCGCTCTTTCTGAAGAGCAGTGGGGGAGGGGCCGCACACGGCAGCGCTTCAGGCAGAAAAGCAGACTAAAAAAACGCTTCAAGCAAACTGTCCCTGAGTGAAACTGTGAAATAAATCAGAGGAGTTTTTGACCCGAGAGCAGCAGAAGGTTCTGACGGTACCACATGTTCTGTTTGACGGTTCTACAGGGTCTTACAGAGGAGATATGACAGGTTACAACAAGTCTTCTTCTTCCAGAAGAACTGCTCCTGACTGAACCACATGTTCTCGTGTATATTTCTGTATAATTTAAAATGTTAAAATATTGTTTCTTTTTGGTCATTTCAGTTGTTTGCTGATTCTGAGGACGTTGTCCAAAGGTTTATGAGGATGATTAAAGCCGTTTGCAGACATCCCTCAGTGTGATGACTGTTACTGACAGAAGACATGGAGGACATCTGAGTGTCAGCTTGGTCTCCTCTAACGTTTCCTTCTCTGCTCGGTTCTGATGGGTCGGTTCCTGGACCTGGCAACAGCTTAGATCAACAAATCAGCAGGTTTCCTGTCAAACGGGTGCTAATTAGAGCCCACCAGGTTAAAAACACTGCCATGACCTGTTGGGTCAACGTTGACGACGTCTGTAATGTTTTGGATGAAACCCTTTTTCCGTTTGTTCCAAGTCAAACGGTAAAAAGTTACCCAAGTCCGAGGGGAGTTTCTGGGTTTTCCCAAACCACAGCTGATGCTGCTTATTGTTTTGGAGATGATGGAATCATTAGTGCTTCGTAAGAGGCTCGTTTATCCCGGCCGCCTGACTCAAGAGCCATCTGGGGCCAATAACACGAAGAGCAGATCCGTTCTTACCAAACTAGTATTTCATATTGCACAGGGAGCCTTCAAAGGTCTGTTTCTGCCTCGCTGGATGGGTTCACTGGACCGGGGGAGCTATAAACGAGTCCGGGACAGCGGGAGCCCCTCCTGACCCGGGCCGTCTGAGATAACCGACCTTCGGAAGTGTGCTCGGGCTGTGACGGATGGCCCCGAGTCTGGAGCTCGAATCTCCGGCTGGTGATACTCCCAGAGAGCGATGGAGGGGAGCGTGGAGCAGGACCTGGACTCGGGCGCCTCCCGGGACTCAAACGCTGTGACTACAAGCGACCTGCAGAGGAGGAACCTCTGTCAGCGGGTCAGAGAGACTGCTGGCTCAGTGTCCAAATGAATCTAGTGAAAGGATTCAGGGCCTGCAGGCTCTCAGCCAAGGCTATTAGGTGTCTTCATATGCATACAGAATACCTGGGCTGGGGGGTTGAGGGGTCCCTGCAGACTTTTCAGCGCCGTGTTTCAGAGATTTAACGAAGCTGCGCTCTGCCAAGACGATGCTCAGAGACCAAAAGTATGAAACCGGAGCCAACAAAGAGATTTTTCTGGATTCAGATCGGACACGTAATGTTCCCTTCATCCCTCCATCCTCCCCCGACCCTCCCCATTCAGAGGTGTGGGGGCTGAGGCTCAGTCAGCAGGAAATGACCTCACCTGGATGGGACTGAGAGGTGACGGACAAACGGAGAACAAAAGTCCGGAGTTGAAGATCAGTTTATTTTTACAGCGTTAATTCACAAAAGACGGAGAAAACAGCTCCAATTAAAATCCAA